TCTATTCCTTCCGTCATGTCGTTCACCAAATACAAAAAGCACGATCCTAGGACTGACCCCTGTTGGACCCCCGCTGGTCACAGGTGCCCACCGCTGACACCTCGCCACGTCCAATGACTCGCTGCTGTCTTCCTGACAATTATGCCCTGATCCATTGAGTGCCTCCCTGTTATCTCATCCCTGCTTGGTCCCTCCAGTTTTTTGCACCAATCTCTTGTGTGGAACTGTGTCAAACGCCTTCTGGCAGTCCAAGAATATGCATTCCACCCACACCCTCTCTCTCTTGTCTACTGCTGTCACCATTCATAGAACTCCAGTATTTTGTGACACAGGAATTCCCGTCCCTGAAACATGTTGGCTGCTGTTGAGAGATTGTTCCTTTCTAGGTGTTCCACCACTCTTCTCCTGATAATCTTTCTCCACATGAATTTGCATACTATACATGTCAGTGACACTGGTCCTGTATTTAATGCTTTTTTAATCCATTTTTAAAAGATGGGACTAAACATTAGCTGTCTGCCATGCCTCAGGCATCTCCCTGTTTTCGATAGATGTATTGAATATATTGTTGTTAGGGGTACTCATAGCACCTCGCTCCCTCTCTCTATACCCATGGGGAGATGTAACTGGCCCCATTGCCTTTGAGGACTATCTACTCACTCAGAAGCCCTTCAACTTCTTCCTCGGTTTGTGCACTGTGTTCCAGCACATGGTGGTGTTCCCCCACCTCTCCTCTTTCGGAGCCACTTCAGTCTCCGCTGTGAACACTTTCTTTGACTCTCTTGTTGACTTCCTCACTTCTTTCAACGTCATTTCTTGTTGTCTCTCCTCCTTCCTCCTTCCTTACCTGATTACCTGGTCCTTGACTGTTTGTTTACCTCCTATGTGCTGTACAACAGTTTCGGGTCAGATTTTTTGGCTTCGCTGCTGTCATTTCAAATTGTCTTTGGCCTAACCCTTGTTTCTTATTTGTGCATATTCCTTCTCATGGCTCTACCGACTGCTCTCCTTATCTCCTGGTCTTTGCCTTCTATATTTCTTCCATTCCCTAGACACTTGTTTTAGCCTCCCTGCAACCTTTGGGTAAACCATGGCTCATCCTGGCGTTTTCAATTTTCCTGTTACCCTTGGTACAAAACCTCTCCTCAGCTCCTTGCCATTAGTTGGCTACAGATTGTCTGTGTGTGGTGTCTGTTGTGGGTTCTGTGTGTGTGTGAGTCCGGTGTGTGTTGTCTGTGTGTGTGTGTGTGTGCTGTGTGGTGTCTGTGTGTGTGTGTGTTTGTGTGTGTGTTGTGGTGTGTTGTGTGTGTGTGTGGGTGTGTGGTGTGTGTGTGTGTGTGTGTGTGGGTGTGTGTGTCTGTGTGTGTGGTGTCTGTGTGTGTGTGTGCTTGTTGTGTTCCTGTGCATGTGTGTGTCTGTGTTTGTGTGTGTCTGTGTCTGTGTGTGTGTCTTTGTGTGTGTGTCTGGGTGTGTGGGTGTCTGTGTGTTGTGTCACTATGTGTGTGTGTCTGTGTCTGTGTGGGTGTGTGCTCCCCTAGTTGAGGTTGCGGGGTCGAGTCCGAGCTCCTGGCCCCGCCTCTTCACTGATCGCTAACTAGGTCACTTGGTGTGGTGTGTGTGTGGGTGTGTGTGTGTGTGTGTGTGTTTGTGTGTGTGTGTTGTGGTCTTGTGTGTGTGTCTGGTGTGTGTGTCTGTGTGTGTGTTTTGTGTGTGAGTGTCTGTGTGTGTGTCCTGTGTGTGTGTCTGTGTGTGGTGGTCTGTGTGTGTCTGTGAGTGTGTTCTTGTGTGTGTCTTGTGTGGTTGGTGTGTGTGTCTGTGTGTGTCTGTGAATGTGTGCTGTGTATGTTTCTGTGTGGTTTGTGTGTCTGTGTATGGTGTGTAGTGTAATGTGTGTCTGGGGTATTGGGCGTGTATGTGTGGTCCTGTGTGTGTTGTGTGTGTGTACTCCCTATTTGTACTCACTGCACCTATTTGGGGTTGCAGGGGTCAGTCCAGCTCCCTGGCCCCGCCCTTCAACCGGTTGCTACTAGCCCTCTCTCTCCCCGCTCCATAGCTTTATTCAAACCTCGTCTGAAACTGTGTATGGTTCCTGCCTCCACTACGTCATTTTCTAGGCTATTCCACTGCCTTACAACTACCTATGACTGAAGAAATACTCTACTATCTCTCTGACTCATTTGTGTCTTCACTCCAATTGTGGCCCTCTTGTTTCTGTGGTCCCCTCCCTGGAACATCCTGTCTTTGTCCCACCTTGTCTATTCCACCAGTATTTTTATATGTCGATATCATGGCTCCCCTGACCCTCCTGTCCTCTCATGACCGCAGCCGATTTCCCTTAATCCTTTTCTCAAAGGACATTCCCCTTAAGCTCTGGAACTAACCTTGGTCGCAAACCTTTGTACTTTCTCTAGTTTCTTGACGTGCTTTATCACGTGCGGGTTCCAAACTGGTGCTGCATACTCCATTATGGGCCTGACATACAACGGTGTAACAGTGTCTTGAATGATTCCTTACTAAGTAGTCCGAATGCTGTTCTCAGGATTTGCCAGGTGCCCAATGCTGCAAGCAGTTTTATCTGATTGATGTGTGCTAGACCGGAGACATTCTCGGTGTTATACTCACCCCAAGATCTTTCGCCTTGAGTGAGGTTTGCAGTCTTTGGCCACCTAGCCACATATAAGCTGTCTTGGTCTTCGTGCCTTCCCCTATCCTTCATGACTTTGCATTTGGCAGATTAAATTCGGAAGCCATTTGCTGGACCCTGGTGTCCCAGTCTGCCAGGTCTCGTTGAAGTCCCTCCCTGGTCCCTCATCAGATTTATTCCTCTCTCATACTCACATCATCTGCAAACAGACACTTCTGAGTCTAAACCTTCCGTCATGGCGTTCACATATACCAAAAATTAGCACTGGTCCTAGACCACCCTGTGGGACCCCGCTCGTCACAGGGCCACAGTGATACATCATTACGTACCAGGACTCGTGTTGCTTCCTGTCAGGTATTTCTCTGATCCATGGCAGTGCCCTTCTGTTATAATGCGCCTTGATGGCTCTACTTCTGCCAACAAATCTCTTGTGAGGAACTGTGTCAAGGCCTTCTTTGCAGTCCAAGAAGATGCAATCAAACCCACCCCTCTCTCACATCTCTCTTGTCTTACTGCTGTATTGTTTCTTTTATCATAAAACTCCAGAAGGTTTGTGACACAGGATTTGCCCCTTCCATAATCCAGCTGGTTGGCATTTTAATCCTTTCCGTTCCAGGTGCTCCACCCCACTCCTCCTGATACTCTTCTTCCAAATTTTGCATACTATAAACACGTCAATGAACACAGGTCTATAGTTTTAGTGCCTCTTTTCTGTCTCCCTTTTTTTGAAAATGTGGGAAATACATTTGCCGTCTTCCTTACCTCAGGTAGTTTGTCCCATTTCCAGGCTGTGCTGAAGATTGTGGGTAAGTGCAAGCACAACATATCTGCCCCTCTCTAAGGACTCCACGGAGAGATGTTGGTCCGGTCCCCTTTGCCTTTGAGGTATCGAAGTCCCTTGCGTTTCTTCACCTCCTCCTCATCAGTATGATGTCGAGTCCAACACATTTGTGAGTATTCCTTCTGGTGTCCCCATCTGGTCTGTCCCCCCAAGTCCTTCCTGTCTCTACTGTATAAAACGTCCTAAATCTCGTGTTGAGCTCCACAATTACCTCTTGCTCGTTTCTGTGATCTCCACCTTCTTTCCTCAGCCAATCACCTAGTCCTTGACTGTTGTCTTCCTCCTAATGTGGCTATACAGCAGTTTCGGGTCAATTGAACTTTCGATGCTATTCGTTTTCATAACTGTCGCTGGCTGGCCCCCCTCCTTAGCTGCGCATACTCGTTTTTCTGGTCTCTACAAATCCTCCTTGTTTTCCTGGTCCTATGCTCCTGTACCTTTTTCCATTCTCTGTGTCACTAGTTTTTTGCCTCCCCTACAACCTTCGGGTAAACCAAGGAACTCTTTTTGGTCTTCCGATATTTATTTCTTGTCCCTTGGAACAAAACGTATCCTCAGCCTCCTTCACTATTGTTTGCCACATATCCATCATCTCGCTACTGTTTTTCCTACATTTCACTGTCCCACTGACCTCCTGCAGGAAGTTTCGCATATCCTGTGTAGTCCCCCCTTTTATAGTTTGGGTGGGCCTTCCCCTTCAGTTTCCTGTTACCTCTCCACTTGTAACTTCTACTATATAGTCAAAACTCAGAACCACATGATCGCTAGCTCCAAGGGCCTCTCGGAAGTGATGTCCTCAATGTCGAACTGCGCTCAGGTGAACACAAACCAGTCTTGCTGTGTGTGTGTTGTGTGTGTGTGTGTGTTGTGTGGGTGGTGTGTGGTGTGTGTGTGTGTGTGTGTGTGTGTGAACTCACCTAGTTGTACTCACCTAGCTGAGGTTGCAGGGGTTGAGTCCAAGCTCCTGGCCCCGCCTCTTCACTGGTCGCTACTAGGTCACTCTCCCTGAACCGTGAGCTTTATCATACCTCTGCTTAAAGCTGTGTAAACACCCCACGCTAACTCCAAGAGAGCTTAGGACAGGTATGACCACACATGACCACTTAAAGTTGCAGTTTCCAAGAATCTATTGACGATGTTAGTTAAGGACTTACTGTACATCAATCAACAATAACTGCAAATAAGTCCAACGAATGCAAAACCACCACAGGGTAAGCTGCATGAAAGCTTGCCAGGATGACAACTCCAAAGATACCAACCTGGGTGATACTTATTCCTTTCCACACTGGCAGCTCTTGAAAAAATGTTGCCTGCCAACATAAAGGCCCAAGCTGGCTGTACTCTAAATTCCTCCTGTGGTTTGTTCTGCATAATATAGAATTAGGTAGCCCTATACATATTATCATATATTTATTTCTAATTTTGCTATAAATCTCTTGCACATTTTAAATTAAAACAGCCATGTTGAAAAATGAAAAGATATTAAGTACATGTACAGTAAAAGTTTAAACTAACCTGACACTGATACATGTTTCGAGGATTGGGGTTGCAGTCAGAAAATGGTACAAATTTGCCAACATTGCTGAATATAGATGTCTTGTCTACTCCAAGGTGTGTATGAACCTGTAAAACATATCCTCTTGTTTTTATACGTAACTTATCCTCTTATTGTTTTATATGTAACTTTCTGTTTTATTTGAATACATACACTGAATATATTTTTTACTGTATCAGTTATTTCCTACCAAGAAATGAATATGCAAGGAAGGAAATGCTCACACCATAACTCACTCAAAGTATTGTATCAATGTATCAGCAAATTTTAAGGTATAAGTATAATGAAAAAACGGCCAATACCTCTCAGTACTTTTAAAAAATCAACATTACACATATTGAAAAATATTAAAATCAACACTCAAACTCACAGTTGTGAGGGTTACTCTCACACAAGCACACATGCAGGTACACACAAACAAAAGAAAGAAGGACTAGGAATATGATAAAAACATACAAAATACTAAGAAGAATTGATTAACAGGGTGGCATCAGGAACAAGAGCACACAACTGGAAGTTGAAAACACAGATGAGTCAGAGAGATGTTAAGTATTTCTTCAGTCCTAGAATAATCACAAAGTCAAACAGTCTGGAGGGTGGAGTGGTAAAGGCAAGATCCATACATTGTTTTCAGAAGTATAGCAAGGCTTTTGAAGCCAGGAGGGAGTGAACCTTGTAGAGGGTGGTGAAGGGCAGGGTCAGGAGCATAGATTCGATCCCTGCCACTACATACTGGTAAGTACAAATACATGAGTACACAAACACACACAAATACGCAAACACAAAAAACACACAAGAAACATAAAACACATACAAATGCCCAAAAACACGCACAAAAGTATACACATTTAAATACACACCCAAACAAAACACAAAAACACACACATGTCAAGCCCATCCTGCAGCACTGTAGCACTGGATAAAGTGCACAAGCATGCAGCACATCTTATTCTTGAAATAAGTGGCATGACTTACAAGGAGAGGCTAATGGAATTTAATTTAACAACACTGGAGACTAGAAGAACCAAGGGAGATATAACAATATACAAAATACTCAGGGCAATTCATAAGGTAGACAGAGACAGGCTTTTTAAGAGGCAAGAAATGGGAATTCAGGGACACAGCTGGAGGTTAAAGACACAGATGAGGCAGAATGATGTCAGGATTTACTTCTTTAGTTTCTGAGTGGTTAGAAAGTGGAATTATCTAAGTGAAGAAGGTGTAGAGGTAGGCTCCATACATAACTTAAAGAGCAGGTACAATAAGACAAATGAGGGTAGGAGGGAGTGAATCTGGCAAGTAGCAGGTTGAGAGGTGAGGCCAGGAGCCTCATATAGGGAAGTATAAGGCCTCAGGTCAGAAATAGTAACAAGAATAAACCTAGAGAGTAACATGTGATAAAACAAACAGATAATTAACATATCCTGAAGGACTGTACTACAAACCCCTTGCTCAATATATTCAGGAGTAACAGCCACATTAAGATAGAGCTGCTCTAGTGTGCCAATATACTCAATGGTGTACGTCTGAAGGTTGATCACTGGCCGCATCATTCTTCCTACAGATGTCACCAAAAAAAACCTGGATACTGCCCTCCATACATCCGCTTTGGTATGAGTACTATTTCAGTATACTTAAAGATCTGAAAAGTAATACAAGATGATTGTAAAATAAAATATCAATCTGAAATCCCTGACAATGTAAGTTAAATATTAACAATATAAATTTACCAAATAAGGTAAATTATTAATTAGGAAAGGCAAATAATATTTCAAAAACTTTTATAAATGTATAAACTTTTATGTATGTATAAACACAAAAGAAAGCCATTATTGCATAACAATTTGAATGAATCCACAGAATAAACTCATGTACTTATTAACTAACAAAAAAGTGAACTTGTGGTGTGAGCCAAGCACATTACAATTTATTTGGTATTCATCACACACCCACTGGCATGCCCTCTCAACCAGCCAACAAATAATTTAGAATGGAGCACATTATTTAGGGGCCACATTGCCCTATTAGACTGTCCAGTTCAGTCAAGTAATAGCATGAGAGCTTTTGCTCCCAGCAAACTGAGGTTAAGCTTTACCACCTGGCTATGTGGCAGACACTCGTATATACTGCTTGTATACACTCATATTCTCTTGTTCATTGTGAAGTGTAAAACCAACTGTTATGAATGGCTCCTTGTTCTCTGGCTCATCATTATTATACTGTTGATGATTTAACTCTGTAATTACTGTACATATCTTCGAGAGGGCATTCCTAATAGCCCTTATTTTTTTAATAGTCAAATCCACATTAAGGAAAATTCATTAAAAAAATATAATGCACAACAAAAGTCTTTTTTTTTAACACATTAGCCGTTTCCCACCAACGCAGGGTGACCCCCCAAAAGAAAAGAAAAACCCAAAAAGAAAATACTTTCATCAATAAATGCTTTCACCATCATTCATACATAATCACTGTCTTTGCAGAGGCACTCAGATATGACAGTTTAGATATCCCTCCAAACTGTCAATATCTCAAATCCCTCCTTTAAAGTGCAGGTACTGTACTTCCCATTTCCAGGACTCAAGTCCGGCACTAACTGGTTTCCCTGAATCCCTCCACAAACTATTACCCTGCTCGCACTTCAACAACTCGTCAGGTTCCAAAAACCATTCGTCTCCATTCACTCCTATCTAACATGTTCACGCACACTTGCTGAAGTCTAAGACCCTCGCCCACAAAACCTCCTTTAGCCCCCCTAACCTTTTCAAGGACAACCCCTACCCCACCTTTCTTCCCCTACAGATTTATATGCTCTCCGAGTCATTATACTTTGTTCCATTCTCTCTAAATGACCAAACCACCTCAACAACCCCTCTTCAGCCCTCTGACTAATACTTTTAACCCTTTCAGGGTCCAGAGGCCAAATTTCAAAGTGTGCACCAGGGTCCAAGAATTTTCAAAAAATAATTTTGTTACTTTTTCTTACGAAATGGTAGAGAATCTTTTTCTGAAGGTAATAAAACAAAAAGTACGAAATTTGATGGAAAATTGACGAAATTATGCTCTCACAAATTTTGATGTGTCAGCGATATTTACGCATCGGCGATTTGCCGACTTTGACTCCCATTTTAGGCCAATTACATTATTCCAGTCGACCAAATTCTTAGCTATTTCACTAGTATTACTTCTATTCTATTGATTGAACATCTCCATGTCAACTGTTTCAACTACAAAATAAAGTGATCGGAAATTGGTAATTTGGCCAATTTAATACAAAGTTCAAAATATTCCAATTTCAAAATAGGGTCCAGAATAAACAATACAGGCATTCCTGGCACTAAAGTAACATTTCCTCTGTTCGTTAGTTATGTTTTCAGGCTTAACAAATGAATTCCATTTTGATTTTTTATTCACATAATGAATTTTTATTCAAACCAAAAAATAGAAGATTTACTGTTATGAAATATTGTAATAATTGAATAAATAATGTCACCACATTTGTGAATGTATATCAGACCCACCAGCTGGCGTGTATAAGATGTGTGAGCTCATTTGTTTACTCTTGAACATCGGCAAAAATTTAACATTTCGGCTACACTGAGCTCTGTTTCAAGCCATTTCCAGCAGTAAAACCAATCAAAATCATCTCTATTTCTGTAATATATCTTCCATTCTATCAAATGAGACCAAGAAATCGCAAATACAACTATAAAAAAACATACGAAAAAACACTGCAAAGTCGCTGTTTTAATCGAAAATTATGGTCTCAGTTTTCTTTCTCTCATTATGTAATGTGTGCTGCAGGATTTGTTTTATGTGGTGCACATATACCAGATAGATGTATTCTCTCACATCTAGGCCCAAATTTACCGCTGAGCTCATGGCGTAGATCTACGATTTGGACACTCAACGTAAAGCCGTAGATCTACGGTACGGACCCTGAAAGGGTTAATAATTCCACACCCTGTAGGTAGTAGGTTGGTAGACAGCAACCGCCCAGGGAGGTACTACCGTCCTGCCAAGTGAGTGTAAAACGAAAGCCTGTATTTGTCTTACATGATGGTAGGATTGCTGGTGTCTTTTTTCTGTCTCATAAACATGCAAGTTTTCAGGTACGTCTTGCTACTTCTTCTTACACTTAGGTCACACTACACATACATGTACGAGCATGTATATACACACCCCTCTGGGTTTTCTTCTATTTTCTTTCTAGTTCTTGTTCTTGTTTATTTCCTCTTATCTCCATGGGGAAGTGGAACAGAATTCTTCCTCCATAAGCCATGCGTGTTGTAAGAGGTGACTAAAATGCCGGGAGCAAGGGGCTAGTAACCCCTTCTCCTGTACAAATTACTAAATTTAAAAAGAAAAACTTTCATTTTTCTTTTTGGGCCACCTTGCCTTGGTGGGATACAGCCAGTTTGTTGAACGAAGAACTCCACACCTCCTCCTAATTTCCACACTATAAATTTTCTACATAATATTTACACCACACATTGCCCTTAGACAACATCTACACTGCCTCCAGCCTCGTCCTCACTGCAGCATTTAAAACCCATGCTTCACACCCATATAGGAATGTTGGTACCACTAGAATCTCGTACATTCCCTTCTTTGCCTTCATGGATCAAGTTTTTTGTCTCTAGAGACACCTCAACACACCAACCACCTTTTTTCCTTCATCAGTTCTGTGGTTAAATTCTTTCTTCTTTCTTTCAACACACTGGCCATATCCCTTCAAGGCAGGGTGGCCCAAAAAGAAAAACGAAAGTTTCTCTTTTAAATTTAGTAATTTATACGGAGAAGGGGTTACTAGCCCCTTGCTCCCGGCATTTTAGTCGCCTCTTACAACACGCATGGCTTACGGAGGAAGAATTCTGTTCCACTTACCCATGGAGATAAGAGGAAATAAACAAGAAGAACTAGAAAGAAAATAGAAGAATACCCAGAGGGGTGTGTATATATATATGCTTGTACATGTATGTGTAGTGTGACCTAAGTGCAAGTAGAAGTTGCAAGACATACCTGAAATCTTGCATGTTTATGAGACAGACAAACGACACCAGCAATCCTACCATCATGTAAAACAATTACAGGTTTTCGTTGTACACTCACTTGGCAGGACGGTAGTACCTCCCTGGGCGGTTGCTGTTTACCAACCTATTACCTAAGTGTGGTTAAATTCATCCTTCATAAATCCATCTCCTGACAAGTCAACTCCTAAATATCTGAAAACATTTACTTCTTCCGTACTCCCTCCCTCCAATGTGATATCCAATTGTTCATTATCTAAATCATCTGATACCCTCATCACCTTACTCTTATCTATGTTCACTTTCAACTTTCTACCTTTAGACACCCTCCCAAACTCGTCCACTAACCTTTGCACAGTATCATTAGCAAATAAGTAACTGTCAACTCCCATTTTGTACTCGAGTGTATTTTGTATTTGGGTCACCCTGCCTCAGTGGGAAACAGCCGTAGTGTTAAAATATATATTTTTTTTTCAACAAACCGGCCGTATCTCACCAAGGCAGCGTGGCCCAAAAAGAAAAACGAAAGTTTCTCTTTTTAAAATTAGTAATTTATACAGGAGAAGGGGTTACTAGTCCCCTGCTCCTGGCATTTTAGTCGCCTCTTACAGCACGCATGGCTTACGGAGAAACAATTCTGTTCCACTTCCCCATGAAGATAAGAGGAAATAAACCAGAACAAGAACTAGTAAGAAAATAGAAGACAAGATAGATATATGTTTGAACATGCAAGTGTAGTGTGACCTAAGTGTAAGAAGTAGCAAGATGTACCTGAAATCTTGCATGTTACAACATGTTATAACATGTGTGAGCGGGTTAGATAGGAGTGAATGGAGACGGATGGTTTTTGGGACCTGACGAGCTGTTGGAGTGTGAGCAGGGTAATATTTTGTGAAGAGATTCAGGGAAACCAGTTAGCCGGACTTGAGTCCTGGAAATGGGAAGTACAATGCCTGCACTTTAAAGGAGGGGTTTGGGATAGTGGCAGTTTGTAGGGACTTCTAACCTGTCATATCTAAGTGCCCCTACAAAGACAGTGATTATGTATGAGTGAGGTGAAAGTGTTGAAGATGAAGAGGAGGGGTTGAAGAGGGTTGGAATAGTTTTAAAAATGCAGTATTAGAATGCGGGGCAGAAGTTTGTGGTTATAGGAGGGTGGGTGCAGGAGGAAAGAGGAATGATTGGTGGAATGATGAAGTAAAGGGTGTGATAAAAGAGAAAAAGGTAGCTTATGAGAGGTATTTACAAAGCAGAAGTGTTATAAGAAGAGTAGAATACATGTATATGGAGAGTAAAAGAAAGGTGAAGAGAGTGGTGAGAGAGTGCAAAAGGAGAGCAGATGATAGAGTGGGAGAGGTACTGTCAAGAAATTTTAATGAAAATAAGAAAAAATTTTGGAGTTAACAAGTTAAGAAAGCTAGGAACAAATGGATTTGTCAGTTAAAAACAGAGTAGGGGAGTTAGTAGATGTGGAGTGGAGGTTTTGGGTAGATGGCGAGAATATTTTGAGGAACTTTTAAATGTCGACGAAGAAAGGGAGGCGGTAATTTCATGCACTGGCCAGAGAGGTATATCATCTTTTAGGGGTGAAGAAGAGCAGGATGTGAGTGTG